ATTTAATATTTTTTTAATTAAAAATACAATTTACAATTAATTTAAATAATATCTAATTATAAATAATATCTAATTAATTTGATTCAAACATTTTGCATTTAGTTTTAATATTATTTTAATTAATTAATATTGATTTGAGTTTTAAATGGATTTTAAATGGATTGAGTCTCTTAATATAATTATATTTAAAGGTTAATTCGGTTAATTAATCGATTTCGAACCGAATTAACCGTTAACCAAATTCAAAAAAAAATTAACCGTTCCCCGACCGAATTAATTTGGTAACCGACCGAATTAATTAAACTAATTCGATTCGGTCGATTAATTCGATTAAAACTAAATTTTGAACACCCCTACACCGCGTTTGCACTAAATATAAACGCTCACATTTTCTTTGCCTTCAAATATTCCCTGTAACGCTTTCACTTTAATGAGCGGTCGGAATTGTTATTAGGTGGCTAAGATGGGGAAATTCAAATCATTGTCATTTTTATTGCCATCATTTTAGGTGTTTCGAATTTATATTTATATATAAATATATTTATATGTATAAAATTAAAATAAATTTATATATATAATATATATTATATTTATTGTTGATAATGATTATAAGATAAGTTATTATATCTTATGTGGATGAAGAATTATAATCGGTGGTTCATAATAGTGTTACAAACGATCATTATCAGCTAATTTTTAAGATTTTATAAAAAGTAAAGTTGATGAAGATGATATTGAAGTTCTATTTTTCAATTTTAGTTGAGAGATTTTATAATGACTCTTGTTGTTAATGCAAAGCCCAAAGACTAAGATCATAATAACTACTTGAAGTTGGCAGACTTAATGGATATAGCCATTTGAAAATAAATTTAATTCAAACAAATTATTCTTCTAAATTAGTTCTTAATTTTTTAATATTTTATTTTCATCCCCAAACTATATCCTCTATTCTAAATTAGTCCCTAAATTTTTTTAATATTTTAATTTCTTCTCAAATTATATGTATATACTAATCACATTATATGTTAATAAAATCGTTAGGTTAAGCTATATTGTTATTTGTTTGAAAAAAATAAAATAAAATTTAGGTTAAACTATGATTAAGATTAATTACATATTTGGATGAATTTGGGATGAAATTGAAAGATTTAAAAGTTTGGGGACCAATTTAGAATGAGAGATGTATTTTGAGGATGAAATTAGATTATTCAAAAGTTTAATGACTGATTTAAAATGAGTATTATAGTTTTGAGATAAAATTAAAATATTTAAAAATTTAAGAATCAATTTAAAATGAAGATCATAATTTAAAGATATATGATGCAATTAACTCCTACAAATATCACATTGACAATTAATAATAAAGTACATGTGATAATCTTAACATTAATCCTTTTAAAATACTGACTCCGTCAAATTAAACTTATCTTTTATTATTTTTTTAAAAGTTAAAATTTTAAATTTTTTTATCATGATTATTTTAAATATTTTAAAAATTAAATCGTATAAAATATATTTTTAAAAATTATTTAATTGAATGTTTTAAAATATATATTTTTTATATTTTTAATAATAATAAATTTTAAATAATAATAAATTAAAATTAAAAAATAATCAAAATAATTAAAAAGAGACTATTTAAGCAATAATTTTACTTTGCGATAGCTTAATTTAAGGTTAAAATATGATAACTTTAGGATGCAATAAAAATTATGATAAAAATCATAACATTTTAAGTAGAACGTAATTTAAAATAATATTTTTAATAACATTTTCGGTTGAACATGTTAGGAAGAAAATAACTAAAAATATTACATTTAAAAAAAATAATATATAAGATTACACTCCACCTAAAATATTATAATTTTAATCACATTTTCAATTTCATTCTAAAACCGTCATTTTCAAGTGGGTCTAAGAGAGTATATATTTTTATGGTTGGTTTATCCAAATTTACCTTGTGTGTTGGCTCCCTCGATTCAATTCATTTCTTCTTTAGATTTAACCTTTTTTAAAAAGTGGAAGCACCGATCTCCGCTGCTGGGTTTGTCTCAGATCGGTGGCAAAGGTAAGATACTATGCACAAATTTATACCTTATCCATATATTTTTTTCATTCAATTCCAGGATTTAAGTTGATTCCACTCCTTACAAGATGTCTAAAGCTCAAGATCCATTTTATATCGTCAAAGAAGAGATTCAAGACTCTGTAAGTTGGGTTGGGTCTTTTCCTGCTAGAGAAATTGATTGCTTGATCTCGTTGATGGCTGTTTCTTCTTTTTTGGGGAGTTTCTACTTTTAGATGACATTTTGGGGTTCTTTTTTTCATTTCATTTAGATTGGTAAATTGCAAGTAAGTTTTCACCAATGGGAAAGGATTCCTCCTGGAACTGGTGAGCAAGTTCATCTCACAAAAGATCTGCTTGCTAATTGTGACAGCATCAAATGGCAGGTATTCAAATTAAGTGTTGTTTCTTAAATTTGATTGGATCCTTGAAATGGGTTAAAATATTGGATGATTTGTTTTGCATTGTGTTTATGGGTTAATTGAACAAGTTTTTGATATTTTAATTTGATTTCGATTGCTGAAAATGCTTCTTTCTTGATAGGAAGGTGGATGAATTGGACAAAGCAATTTCAGTGGCAGCTAGAGATCCTTCTTGGTATGGTATCGATGAAGCTGAGCTTGAAAGCCGGAGGAGATGGACCGCCAATGCTCGTATTCAGGTATTGTTTTATGGTCATTACATTTTATTGAAGTATGAGGTTATGTTCATCAATGGAGTCATTCAACCGTGGTGTTAGGGTATCATCCTCATTGTCTTTCCAGAAAAAACGGTAGAAGTGCTTGTAGTAGCAATTTTAAGCCAGAAGAAAAACAGATGCGTTCTACTAGCAAGCAACGATTTTCAAGCTTTATTAATAGGACAGCTTTGTGCTTAATAATCGTCTGTATTGTCGGGATTGTCCTGTTAATGTGTTATTATAGATGACGAATTTCTGATTTGTGCAAAATTTGGATTGTTTAACATGTGGTAAATATTGGTCTTAATTTATTTTCCCATTAATGGATGCCCTGCCCTTTATGAATTATTTTATTTTGATAAGGTTGCTGATTTGAAAAAAGCTGTTGGAGCTGGAAAAGAGAATGATAATAGTGCAAGTGTTATCCGTCGAGAACTGATGAGACTGCCGGATTCTCAGCAACCAGATATATCCGACCACTATAGTGCAAAAGATAACGATGACTTTATAGCATCGGAATCAGATAGACAAATACTTCTTATAAAGTAGGGTTTTCTTGGTATCCTCTTATTTGTTTCTAATTATTAGTACTTGATGTGCTCTCTTCTCCGATTTTGCTAGTTTTCCTATTGTCATCAACTCATGGTTGTAGGCAGCAGGATGAGGAGTTGGATGAGCTTAGCGCAAGTGTCCAGAGAATTGGAGGTGTCGGACTTACGATACATGAAGAACTTCTTGCACAGGTGAGTACTTACCAGTAATCTCTCCTGTTAACATATTTGTGAATGAAATGCAATTGTAGTCAATATATACCTTCAGACGTTCGCATAGCTTCGTTGTTGTCCATTTGACATGCTAATTTGAATGCCTTGGTGCTTCAGGAGAAGATATTAGATGAGTTGGGTACCGAAATGGACAGTACGAAAAACCGACTGGATTTTATTCAGGTAATTCTTATCCACAATCTGCAATCAGAAATATAAAATATTCTGTCTCTTGTTTTTATTTTTCCGAAACTTGACCTGAATGCGATGCTCATCTATTCTTTGGTTCTTCCGAATGCAGAAAAAAATGGCTATGGTTATGAAGAAGGCTGGCGCTAAGGGCCAAATAATGATAATAATATTTTTGCTAGTTTTGTTCATCATTCTATTCATTCTGGTCTTCTTCACTTAACAGACCAGAGAAGAAAAGCCAAATTTTATGATGTTCGTTCACAAACACGAACACGAACGAGATCCGACATTCTCAGAAATAACCCTTTTGGTTAGCATCCCCTCTAGTGTTGAATAAATAATGAGTTGAAAATGCGGAACAGAGAACTGTGTTCTTCTGAATTTTTTAAAAAATTGTTGAACTTGATTAGCACTTTGTAAAAGACAGGCTTATTATATCATTACATTATTCTTTACTGTTAATTCTTTACTATGGCTAGGTCTTAAAGGCTTTTTTCTTCTTTTTCTTTTTTGAAATTAGGGTGAGCAAATAATCGATCAAATCGAATTTACGATGAAATTTAATTGATTTAACCAAATTTGTTTGGTTTTGACTGATAATTTAGTAAAATTATTGGTTTTAAAAATTTAAGTTTAATAAATCAATCATTATGCCTTATAAATATAAAGCATAATCCTAGCGATTATTATTGTAGCTGGAATTTATCGAGTAGTTTTAGTGGTAAAAAAGAATATTGTTTTCTTTAGAGATCTCGAGTTCGAGTAGTTTATATGTTTTGTTCTGCTTAGATCCTTGTCAAGTCCAAACTATGTCCTTCAACGAAGGCTTGAGTTATTGTTAACAAAATTTCTTATATTCCAACGCATCTCCAGGCGTTTTCTTCATCTCCACCATGTTAAAAGATGGTGTAACCTCAAATATCTGGGCATCAATGACGAGCAGTCCCTTCCTCCTTTCCTTAACGACGTTCAATTTCACCTTCTCGTCTTTGTTCATTATCCAAAAAAAAAAAACTCCATCCGAGCAATTTGACCTAATTTGAAAATTATATCTGTTGCCGGTTTTGAAACCAAGAGCAGTCCCTTTGATCCAAGTGAAGTTAGAGTGGCAGACGGAAGTTGCCGGCAACGAGGGAAGAAAGATGATGAGGGTTTTCTAAGTTGAGTTTGGAATGAATCAAACTAGAGTCCAACAGTAATTAGATTAAATGAGTGTAAGGCTCGGTTTTTAGACCTGAAATTTGAATCAATTGATAAAACTATTGTCTACAAGCCAATGGGTTCAACAACAATTAATCTCATAGATTAAAAATTCACCATTTAAATTGAAAAACGATTCAACAAAGTATCATCTAATGTTTCAGTATTTAAAACAACAGAAATATTATAAATCTCTTCAGGCGAACTATATCCGACACACAAACTTAAACCAAAATCAAGCACCAAAAACTCGAAACAACTAAGCTCCTTTAACTGATATTTTGAGACTTGTTAAGGATCACACCTTCGTATTTGACCTGGAACCACTTCATAGCATCCTCCTTGGTAACTCTGTGCTGAATACCGACACGCGACTTGCACCTACGACGACGACCCACACGGTATCCAGCTCGTTCGAGAACAACATAGAAGTCCATACCATAGATACCAGTTGAAGGATCATACCTAAAATGCAAACATGAGTTGTTATTTATGCCTCTATGCATGACTAGTTGAATGAAGATGCCAAAAAACAGATATCCACAATAGTACAAGTATTGGTTCCCTCAACTGATGTTGCTCGGGCTCTTCATTCTGCTTAAAACAGATACCGACAACACTAGTTCGCATACTGGTTCCCTCAACCGACATTTGGGTTCTTCATTCGATTTAAAGCATCCATGCTTGACCCCAATTTAGTCCTATGGTTATAAAGACATGAATCTCCAAAGTCCCACTAAATGCATGAAAAAGACACATTCAATATTTCTTCCTGAATCGTAAACATAGAACACAACCAGTGGTATCGTTTCCAAGCCGATCACTAAGCACAAAAGGAAAACCTTTAATAACTTGGCCCAATTAAACATTGCCTTACTATCTCATAATTTCATCCTAAAAGAAGATTAATTGGGGAAACATCTCCATTCTTAAATCCTAATACAGAACCCATCCCTAGAGTTATTACAAGGTAGTATCTGTTCAACACACACACTCCCTCTAGACGCAACTGCTGTAACCCAGGTGAACAACATTCTTTTTTATCATTATGGCTGAATTAAATCCATTGCATAGTGTAAATAGGTGCATTACCATTCAAGTAATTACAGTGTTTAATCATTAAGTTTTAATGAAACCAATTACCTAAATCCATCAAAGAACCAAACTTGATCTATTATCTTCATTAATATCACCATGAAAAAATCAATTACATCAAAAAGAAAAAGCTACTTACTTGATACCAAGATCAATGTGTTCTTGGATACCGAATCCAAAGCAGCCAGTATCACTGAAGTTCCTCCTCAAAAGCTCATATTCCTTAACCTTTAAACCGCTCTCAAGAAGCTGCATAGCTTTCTCCCCCCTCACAGTCACATAGCAAGCAATCTTTTCATTACGCCTTATTCCAAAAGATCTCACAGTGTATCTAGCTGTTCAAATCAAACCCCCCAAAATTATCATTTTCATTACGAACAAATCCCACAGAAAGAATAAAACCAGCATCGGTTACAAGATTTCACCCTTGGAGAATACTGGGGTTTGACCACTGAGTTGTTCCAAGACCTAAATGAAGTGCAAAAAAGGATTAAAAATTAGTCAAGTTAAGGATTTGAGAGGAGAAAATCATTGGGTATTCTTCTTTTTGTCTGCAAATAACCTTGGCGGCGCGCGTAAGACGATCGCCACTCTCACCGACGGAGATGTTGAGGACAAGTTTCTGAACTTTAATCTCCCTCATTGGGTTTGAAAGCTTCTTCTCTGATGCCTTTCATATTTACAAAAATGAATTGAAGTATGAGAAATTAAGTTCGGATTAAGATATTAGATTGAGAGAGAGAGAGAGAGCTACCATTGCAAATTGAATGAGGTTGAGAGCAACAGTGTTGGAGTTGCAGAAATAGCAGCCGCGTTACAAATATGAATTTAGAATAACGATTTAGGGTTTGCTAGGGCTTTATCTTTGTTAGAATTTCACTACTTTGCCCTTTATATTTCGCGTAAAATACAACTAAATGTAATAAAGTGGAGCAACCACTAATAAGTTGGTTTTAATCTTGACATGTACGAGTAGAGTAATTTAAATTAGGAGGATCGTTTTTATTTATGTAGTATTTGATCTAAATTATCCAGTTAATAAATCAGTATAAATGATTATAAAAAAGTAGAGTGAAGCGTTTCTAACCTTAATTTTTTTAGAATTAAATTTGTATTAAAATTTATGATTTGAATATATATTTAATATTTAATTAGGTATTTTTTAAGATTGTATACAAAGAATTTTTATTCTCAAATTAATATTTGAATTAAATATTTTTTAGTTTAATAAAGAAAAAAAATAAGTGTTTAAACTACATTCTTAATTAATTTTAGGTATCCAAAGTATTTTTCGTTCAAAGTAAGTGTTTATTTCAGACCTTTTAGAATTTGGTTGGTAATGATGTTATTTCTTTTTGTTTGATCCTTCTTATGATGCTTGTTTTTTTTTTATTATGTGAACCAAACACTCATTTTGTTAATACCTAAAATTGAATGCTCGAGCTAAATAAATATTTTTAGATCGATTAGTCTTTGTACGATTATTTACAAGATTGTGTCTGAAACTATTGTTAATCGTGTCAAACATATTATGCCCTTCTGCATATTGAAAATCAATGTGCATTTGTACCAGGTAGACGAATATCAAAAGTTCAAAAATGGTTCGAACAAAATGATGGCTCTTAAACTTGATATGGAATGGAAATTCTTTATAAAAGTGTGATGGGGAAAATAGGGTCTGCAGATAACTCTGTTCACCTTATTTTGAATTGTATCACTTGGATTTCTTATTGTTTCTGTATTAATCGGAAACTTCCAGAATTCTTTAAACCGTAGAGAGGATTGTGTTAAAGGGGCCTTTATCTCCGCATCTCTTCCTTTATTATGCGCAGGGGACTACCAATTTTGCTTCTTTCTGATTTGTATCACTTCAGTTTCTTATTGTTTTCGTATTAATCGTGGGGATTATCACTTAAATAATTAAGTGATGTGATTGAAAAAACTAAAAATATCGATGATTAAATTAAAACTTACCTATAGTTAAATGGTAATGTGTAATTTACCCTTAATTATTTAATACAAATTCGAAGGCCAATATTCTCCTACAGCCAAAAAAAATTATTAGATTCCGCTATGCATCTTCCACGGGTTTTCCAACACAGACAGTTTGGAAATTTGTTCCATAGTCGCATGAGAGGTCTCCATGGGTATGAACAATTATAAATTAGATGGCCTTATTCTCATATGTAATAGGGTAAGGGAGAGGTAGGATAGTAGACTGTTCCCAACGTCAGGTTGAGAGCAGCTTCCGTGAGAGACCTCCAAATTATGAATTTGCCCACCGTAGGACTCGATCCCACGACCTCAAAATTAAGAACCTTGTGTTCTACCAACTGAGCTGGATAGGCAACATGAGTATGAGCAATTATGAGGGTCAATATTTCAAGACAACCATCTCTAATCTTCTACCCCCATCCATAACACAAGTCTTAAATACCAAATTAAACCCATCATCCATTTACAAATTTTATTGAGCACGACACCTACAGAGATATTTGAACGTTTAATATTAAATGATTGAGAGTTTTTCGAACATATACTACTTCGTAATCACCTTAAACTATTAAAAAAACTCCCGGCCCAAGGGTACTTGAAACTTGCTCTGATTAGTCTCATCAATCAAATAGTTTAAACAGAAACTTCATACAACGCTAATGAAAAAAATCAAAAAAGGATTCTATCTTTTCCCAAAACAAATGCACAAGAATTGATGAGACTCATGGCTTGAATGCAGAAAATGCCACCACGGAGTTGTGTCCTCCAAATCCAAAAGAATTCGATATTGCTGAATCATAAACAGATTGGTTAGAGCTATGGGTTCGGGTCAAAATCAACTGATATTTAAGCAAACGACGACAATAGGAACTTGTCATCTTACACATACCCACATAGTATGATCCTCCCAATACAATAAATCTTATAATAAAAATAGATATATCCATGTTGAACAACATACACCTAAATCCAATTAACATAGATTGAGAGACTTACCAACATTAACTTCATGCTGCATTTTTTCATTGGCAACGGTGTCGAATTCGACTGAAGGCTCTGGATTCTGCATTGAAAATGAGACACCTTAAGCTTTTATAGAGTCCATATAACAACATTGTTTAATCCAGTCGAGTAAATGAGATGTTATCCAAACAATCATCATTGGGGATTGTGAGGTTTCTGAAGATGAAAGATGAAAGCACAAACTAAATTCCCAAATACCTAAGATGTTCTATTTTGGATGGGAAATCTCAAAAGGAGGAATCATGAAAAGGTTTTTGTTAACCAAAATGAGTGTATAAATAAAACTAAAATATTTCGAAAGAAAAAAAAGGAGTTATGGTGGGCACTAAATCACATATTTGAGACTTAGGTGGCCATTAAAATTTTATATATATATATTGTTAAATATTTTGAATAGTGATATGGGTTAAGGGTTGGCCCTGAGCAAAGTCTGAACCGAGATTCAGAAAGGAGTATCGAAAATTCACTAGCCATGGCATGGCCATGCACACTGCCAATTTGGTCCATGAAGAAAGATCATACACCATCTTATATTAAACAGGCAACTAGAACATACAAATTGGTTAATGGTGGGATGCACCCATCCTGTGGTAATGGCTTTCACAGTGGCAATGGTTTCCAAACCACCAGCTGCACCTAGACAATGACCGATCATAGACTGAAAGAAGAAGCAACGCAATTAGCCTATAGCAGACGAGAAACATTACATATAGTCATCTCGAATTTCACGAAATGTAGGAGAGAAAAAGATATGTTACTTTTGTTGAATTGATTTTGATGTCTGATGTATTCTTGAATACCTTCTTAATAGCATTTATCTCAGCTAGGTCACCAGCTAGAGTAGAAGTTGCATGTGCATTGATGTAATTAACCTGAAAAGAAATAGGACTTTCTTAGTTTGCTCATTTGTAACCTCTGAAGATCTACATAAATTTACTTTTTTTTTATAAAAGTTGGAGGTCTCATTAAAAACTCCCTTCGTTTTCGTCCACATACTAACAAGTATGTTAACGAACATTGGAAGAAAGAAAATAGTACCTCATATTTCATTAAATAAAACACCCAGTACATATGAAAACACGGAATACCCTCATACGGGGATAGACACCATTACAAAAAACCAGAATCACTGAAAACTCTCACCTCCTCAACCACAAAGCCCCAGAGACAATCACCCTATTCCTAAGTTACACCTCCAACAAAAGAAAAAACAACCCAACACCTAAGGACATAAATTTACTTAGATAATAAAAGTTTTGAGGTATGCAAATTTCGAAGAGATTCAACTCAAACACTAATATTAAGTTCCCCCGTAAAACAGAGAATACATTAGTGCTATTGAATTTATTTTTCGAAAAATAAAGTTTCCACAGTTTTCAGCAAATACGGATATAAAGAATTGAAGAGACAACATAGCACGGGAAATGAGAAATAAATAGAAACCAGACAAAACTGAATTACTCCTACTATATGCACAAAGAGAACTGAGTGAAAGAAGAAGAATCACCTCCTCAGGGGATACACCTGCGTCTTCAAGGCTTCTCTCAATGCATGAAGACACCCCAAGACCATCGGCTCTTGGATCAGTCATATGATGAGCAATTAACAGCTCCACCTAAGTACTCAGCTATAATCGGCGCACCTCTTTCCGTTGCATGTTCCAAGCTTTCCATTACCTGGAGAGCAAAAGAAATAATCCATTAAAACGGCTATTGAACTTTTCCCCCTTAATAAGATCAGTCAGTTGAATATAACCATAAATAGCTAAGTATCAATCGAAACAAGAACCTTTATGCAAAAGAACCAATCTATTAACTCAAAGCTTAAGTCGCATTAACCAAGTAGTTCAATGTGATAAAAGAGAGCCAAGTATACAAGTGCAAGTGGAATTTTTTTTCTCAGTTTCCAAATGGATGATTATCTATACTTACATTCCCACTCTACATCAGATTAATAGTTAGGCTCCATATGCATCAAACAACATACTTCGAGTGCAGAGATTTCAAAATTAGAAAGGAGCAAGTCGCCCATGGAAGCAGAACAAGACACTAACCCGAAATAGAAAACATAACAACAAACAAGAAGTTAAAGGATGTATATATATAGGAGTATATTGTTTCAAATGGAACCTTACCAATACTCCAGCACCTTCTCCCATTACAAAGCCATCTCGATCTTTGTCCCATGGCCTTGTAGCAGTTTGGGGATCATCATTTATTTGAGACAATGCCCTACAAGCGACAAAACCCCCCAGCCCAATAGGAATAACTGCTGCTTCAGTTCCGCCTGCAATCATCAAATCAGCCTCACCTTGACGGATGTGGTTGGCAGCAGCATAGAAGCAATAATTGGACGTTGCACAAGCGGTTGAAATTTAATAATTGGGACCCATGAAACCAAGCTCAATCGCAAGCAAGGCTGAACCCATGTTTGTTATAGCATAAGGAATGAAGAATGGTGTTATTTTTCTATAACCCTTCTCTATTAGATTTTGAACGCCATCAGAGAACACTGTAAGACCACCCATACCAGTTCCAACAAGCACTCCAGTTCGCTCCTTATTGATCTACAACAAATACAAGAGCTGAAATTTTAAAGCAAAGCAAAAGAACTAAAGTAAATTAAAGATGGAGTAGATAAGCTATATCACTTGATGAGAGAAAGAATGAGAACAATCAATCCAACCTCGTAGGAACTCAAACAATTCTAAGAACTGATATCACTTTAAACATATTGCTTTTTTCTTGAATCTGTCGATTCTCTAGGGTAAGAGAAATCATCCATAACACTGTAAGACCACCCATACCAGTTCCAACAAGCACTCCAGTTCGCT